AACATACATTTGTAATGCTTCTATAGTCATCAACAGAGCTGTACTGTTGGAGCCAATAGGAGAATTTGACTTCAGTAGCCACATTCAACCCAAGGAGGGCAGCACTGAGACCATTTTCAGCCAAATATTAGAAATTTTAAGTAGTCAGAGAAGCATTTTAAAATGTTTGCCCTTAAGGAACAATTTAAACAATTTATCTGTCAAAAAACGTTGATTTAGGGTTTAATCTTTAAATATGTCCAGTTTAAATGCCAGACCCCTTGTAAACATACTTCTGGGTAACCTGGGCGCCGTTTGTAGCTAGCAGTGTTTGACTTTCTCAGTAACTCCAGCTTGCTGTAATACCAGATGTGATCATGATGTGAGTCAGATTTAGCGTGGCAGGAGTTTGACTGTAACTACGTGCGACTGGCAGCCGGCCTCATCAATCTGCTTGCTGTCTTCAGAACAGCCATCACTGGCTTTGAGGAGCCATTTTTTTAAACATATCTGTGTAGAAGCTGTGCTAACGGAGCCTGTTTGGGTTCTTCACTTTAATTTCTCAGCCTGATTTCTGCCTTGGTTGCATCTTTAAACGTGAGCCCACATGTTACTGTGTGTTCTTATTTGTCAATGGAGCGCTGATGAAGTGCTTCTTAGTGCATGTCCTCATGTCCCCCCATGGATGAGTAAGCTTATATGTGAAATTGGTAGCTGTCCAAATCTCCCTGCCATGTGTTTCCAGCCCTCTGAGGTCAGATCTTACATAATTTAGAAATGTAGTTCACCATAATCACAGGACAGCATATATCTCTCTGCTTGTGGCAGACATCACTCTTAGCTGGTGAGGGCAGCCTGTTGTTCCCAATTAGCTCTGCGTGTTTGACCCACAAACATGTTCCTACGTTCATCACTTGCGTACGATTGCTAAGCAACAGCTTCTGATGTAACCAGGAGGAACAAAGGGGCAAAAAGGCACTTTAATACGTTCTACCTCAGAACAGAAATGTGAAAGAAACTCATAATAAAGACAAATGTTTACGTTCATAGTGAGGGAGCAGCGACCACCACCATGCATCACACCTGTCTTTTAACAAATCTAGTTTTGAGTCTTTCTTCTCTTTACAACATGATTTCTGAACTGCAGTAACTTCTAACATCAGAGCTTTGAGAAACTGTTCACCCCGCTTAAATTTAACATGGTTTCACGTTGCAAACAAAAAAAGAAAAAAAAAGAAAAGTGTAATTTAAGTGTGATTGACCAGCATCAACCTCTGCATAATGAATACAAGAGAATGAAAACAATAGTTTTTACCACGGGTGCAACAATTGCAGTTTTGTGCCCGATCATCAATATTTAAAAAGCCTGACCTGCCGATTATTGATTTTGGCCGATACCATTAGTTTTGTTTGAAAAAGTCTCCTAAGTTGGCAAGAGTAGGGTGACATGCATGCAGTGTCCCAAAGTGAAGGAAATTGGGACCGACTGACCTGTGCCTCCCTTGTTTTTACAGATATAAATATCATAAGTGTGACGTGCCTTTGGATTCAGCCCCTGTTAAGTTTTAGAACTGCTTTTAACTGCAGTGACAGGAAGTGTTGTGTGGCACACTTTGGGAATAAAAAATACCAAATAAAGAGATTATGAAAAACACCTCTGGAGTATTTACAGAGCTATAAGGTTTGATTCAGGCCTGGACTTTAACTAGGCCAGTTTTATTCATCCTTGCTATGTTTAGCGCTGTTGTCCAGCTAGAAGGTAAACCTTAACCCAATTTCAGATTGCTTTGCTGTCAATGTTTAGCTTCAGTCATGTGACAGTGTGGTCAGGGTGATGTGAGTGTTGGTTTTTCTTCTGAACACAACATTGTTATGTCTGTTCAGACCCATGGCGTTCTTCTCATCACTCTACCATGGAGGATGTTTAGTGGAGTTCACAACTGAAAGTGACTAGTCAGTTTCTTCAGTGTTTATGCTCCATAGCCCATACACTGATAGGGAGAGACAAACTAAATTTAACCCAAAGACAATTATCAGCTCCTCCACATTGCAGGTGTAACGGTCTGGAAGTGAGCGCGTTATGAAAGGTCATACAGCTGGAGCGTAATGAGTCTCCTGTTGTGCACCGACACACCTGTTCACATCAGTTCATACGTCGTTATCCAGGGAAACACACAGCCATGTGTTCACCGCTGGTGCATTAACCCCTGCGCAGCTCTGCCAGGAAATCTCCCCTCTAGGGCAGGACGGCGGAAAATCTGCCAGGGCTTCAAGAAGACCACCGGTGAAATTCCATTCTGTGGTTTTTACTGAGCTCAAATTGTCACATCAGACATGAAGCATCATTAGAATGTTTTGGCTCAGTGGAGGATAAGTGTGTGTATTGCCAATATGTCCCCTCCATTTTGTGCCTTTACACAGGCCTGCGTACTTACACCATGACGTTTCAGTTTATTTTCTTCATCGTTTTGATCCTTGTTTGACCTGCTTGACTCATTGAAAAGTTAAAGATTTTGACCTCTAATTTAGTCAAAATAGCTCTGATAATTTTCTTTTACAGTACACCATGAGTAGATCTTAAATATCCACTCTTATTCAAAGTGTACACAAAACATCCCCAGGTGGTCATGAACTGACAAGGTCTGTACAACACATCCTGTGGTACTTTAAAAAAAAAAACTGTTGGGTACGCAATGATCAACATTACGTACCCATTATTTATTTAGCGCTAAATGACCACGCTGAAATTAAAACTGTGTAGTTTTGCTCAATTCTCATCTCCCTTCTGTGTTTCGTTTTGGCTTTCTCCCATTGAGTTCGATTTCTCCAGTAGAATTTCAACCAGGTCAATCAGCAAACAGAATTGGGAGTAGTTTTTTTAGAATTGTAGTCTGCCTTTAGACCTATAGTCTGGCAATGGCAGTGCAGGCAGCAAGTAAAGTTTGAACAAAGGAAATCTTTAAGACATTTTATTGCTGGCAAAGATGGCGTTCGGCTTGGCACTTCTCTCTTCACAGTGGGGGATAGTAGTTTACATCACATGCAATTTCCAGTAAGTTTCATCACATACTTCATGGCTAAATAAATATGAGCGATTGGTTAAAATCAGATCCAATCATTTCAAACTTCAACAAAAGCCACACCTCCAGCAAGAAATTGTTTCTCTGTAACTGAGGATCCAGAACATCTGTATGAAGACTAGCTTAGATGCCATCAAACTGATGTTATGGTGACTAAACAGGAAGTTATTGACAACTAAACTTGGAAGGTTTTCCAGTGTTGGATTTTGTGGCTGCACTAGAAAGGCTGGTAAAGGACATCAGTTCTGACCCGTCTCCTTTCACTTATTCTTTCGCCAAACTGATGTTTCGTGTTACCAGCTCAGAGGTCATTGAGTTTTTCTCTCCCTCCCCAGCTGCTAAAAAGACATTTGTCTTTGGGACGCGATCTTAGACAGCCCACAGGGTTCAGTTTGGGGTAAACATGCAAACAGCCAGGCCGTGTTAGCTGTTTTTCGTGCCAGTGCCCCTGAACGCCCTCAGTGAAGCTGCTCAGCCTGATCTCAGCACCTTGGACAGCGCCTCCACTCAGCAGGGGCCCAGAGGAGGAGGAAGGGGGAGATACTTCCGCCTGTTTTCCTGTAACCTTTTGAGCTTCACCGATTTTCAACAAAGAGCAAGTTTGTTTGTTTGGGTTCCACCTCTCCACCGTGCGTTGCCTGTCCTTTCGCATTTGACCTTCGGAATCCCGATTTTATGACGTTGGAGACCCAGAAACTCTGACCGTGGGATTTGTTCTGGAATTGTTCCGGGGTTCTTCTGATAGATGGGTTTGTGCGTTCTATTGCGACCGCCAGCGGACCGTACCGAGGCCCCTGCGTGTTGTATACATGGAAGCGTTTGTGACTGTGGGTAGCATCCTGTCTGTTCGCCTTACTGTCACCCTGTGTGTACGGTGCTAGAGGCAGGGGAGGTGGGGGGTGGTGGGGGTTGCCATCGGTGCCTCCCTCTGCGTCTTCTCTCCTCGACTTCACCTCCCTCCTATTCTCTATCCGTCCTCCTTTCCCTTCATCAGGTTCTCCTGGTTGTCACTCCTGATCAAAGACAAGTAATGTCCTGCTGTCTTTCCCTCCCCACGTCCAGCCGTGCTTTTGTCTCACACTCCGACTCCTGATCTTGACCGCGGCCCCATTGGTTCAGGCCGGACCTCTCAGACAGGAACTGAAGAGTGGCGATAGCAGCAGACGGGGGGCAAGGGGAGGGGCTGGGTGGCTGCCGGGGGGCCCAGGACCTGAACCAGACAGTGAAACGTCACCACTCCAAAGCCAGACTCCCCAACTGTGATGGCATGCCGATGTGTGTGTGCGTGTGTGTGTGTGTGTGTGTGTGAGGGTTCACAGTGTTAGTAGCTCAAAGCCAGCTGAGGCTGCAGTGCAGACAGTCAGAGACTGAGGCTGTGAGCAGCGCTCGGCAGCTGGATGGTGGCTTGTCTGGGACTCACATGTCTGCTTCATGAGGAGACCGGACAGGTGAGCGCACAGGTGCACGTCTGTTGAAGCGATTGATCCTGGACAAGTTTCTATGTTTGAATTGTTTTTTTGTCGTTTTTTTTATTTTTGAAGAAAATGAGGCTGAGTGTTTGTACGTAGTAATGTGTCGTTGAGTCTGAGTTGCATGGCAGGACCTGATCAGGGATGGAGAGTGATCATGGTTGTTTGGTAAATGTTGTGGAAGCTTCAGCTTGTGAGGCGACCTCTGGGGGACGGGTAGTTCGGCTCCTGGAGGCCTCAGGTTCAGACCTGCCAGGTCGGAATGTCAGGAATACTCAGTTATAAGAATCGGAAACTAAAGAACATAAAAAACACGGTTCGTGTTGGAATGCTGTGACCTGTGGTTGATTGATTTCCTTAGTTGCTTCAATGGAAGTAACAGAGATTCTGAAAAAGTTTACCCTGTTTTGCAGTTTTGCCAGACACAAGAGTTCCTCTGGTTCAGACCTTGTACCATTCTTTTATTCTTTTAATTGAAACTGGGAGTAGCGCTCTCCCTACCCCAAGATTTATTTCTAGCCTGTAAACAACTGGAACTACCTTTTGCTCTAACTTCTGTAGATATATTAAGCTCCTTGGCAAGTTTAGATTTAAAGTCATTTTAATTACCAACATGTTTCTTTTAATTGAAACTGGGAGTAGCGCTCTCCCTAGCCCAAAAACAAGAGGTCCATTGGGTCGTCTCTAGCTTTGGGGATGACACACATTCATATTGCTTTTGATGAGCTTCTACAGTGTTACAAGATTTATTCCCATCCAGTTTTGCATTGATGTTTCTTGACATGTTGATTATGGGAGAGTGTGACCACTGCTGATGCCTTCTCCAGCAAATTCTAAAGATTCTCAAAGGTCTGAATTTTGTGATCTTTTTTGCTCCGTGATCTACTGCGTCACCATGAGCCCAATAAATTATCTGATCACATGACCTTCTGCCTCCAGAGCCCAGTATGTACATTGCGTTTCCTTCATGTTTTTCTTTGATGGGATTTAACAAGCGTTTCAGAGGCCGCCAATTACGATCGTTGAGTGTTTTTTCTGACCACATTTCTTCCTTAAAGACAATGGTTCCCCATTTCCCATTCCAGTTTTTAATAATGTGTTGGTTAGTTCTCAACCTCATTAAATTAGTTTATGTTTCTTCTTTGATATTTTCTCTACAAACATCTTTCATACGTTCACAGGATTTGGTTTTCAGCATGGATGCTGAGATGATCCAGTGGACCGCTTGTTTTTGGGCTAGGGAGTGTACTACTCCCAGTTTCACTTACATGGTAATTAAAATGACTTTAAATCTAGACCTGCCAAGGATATGAATACTTTTGGAACTTAAATACAATAAATAAGAAGCCACTAACTACATCAGCTGGAGTATAGTAACTTGTTGCTAGCTGAAAGACAATCTCCCATGCAGTGAGTCTTGTGCCTGTGTGCTTTGTTAATTCAAGGTGGCAACTTTTTGTTTGGGCCAGGTAGTGAGTTAATGTTTTAGAGTGGCCCAGTTTGAATCTGGAAGAGAATCTGTAGAGGGATCTAAAGATCAGGGTGATGGCAAGGAGGCCTTCCAACCCCAAAGGACCTATTGGAGCTCACCAAAGTTAAATGGTGAGAAAACCACTGGGCACCTGCAGAAAGCTGCTCAGCAATTATAAAGAAGGGTTTAATTAAAAATAATTTTAAATCTTAATCTGCTGTTGGTGTATATCATTTGGTTAGTTTAGTGTTTTTCAATGTTCCTCACTCTGCTGACTTAATTTATTTAATTTCCCTTTGGGATTAATAAAGTACTTTAGAGTTTGAATTGAATTTGATTGTCGGTCAGTGTTCATTAATGCTGCTGTAAAGTATGTTTTTTCCTTGCAGGATTTAGAAATACTGTTTTTTTAAGTGAAACTGTATTTTATAAAATAAAACAGCAAAATGAGTTTGAAAACTATTTAATACCAACAAATGGCAGAAAGAAGTTGAGCAACCAATTAGATGATGATTTCTGTAGAAGTACAAGTGGCTGAATTCAAATCTTTGTCTTAATTTCTGTTAAAAATCAAAATTTTTTGATTGTATTTAAACGTTTACATCATATGGGAGGAGAGATTCATTGTAAGGTAGTACTACTGTAAATGGAAGCAAACTTCTTGAAATTCTAATTTTAGCAATTAGCGCTGTTAGCACGGTTAGCTTTGGTGTCTGTAGACGGTGTGTATTTGAGCTTTTCCAATAAGTTAGAAACTTTTTCTCTTTCAGTGTCGATGACGGATAGTGATTGAAAATTCAAAAACTATAAAGCTGATCAATCAAGGACCCTGCAGTCTGCAAACTTAACACATCTTTTTCTTTATTGCCACTTTTTGAAGTGGCTGCCTACAAAAACATCAGATGTAAATCTACAGTAAATATAGTTCCCTGTTGTACTTTTTTATGATTTCCTGAGTTCATTTTTAACCATTCTACAAAAATTTAAAAACCGAATCATTTTGAGTCTTTGTTGATGAGTAATTCTACAGTCAACATATGCTGCTGCTATCACTCAAACTTCAGAACCACAAAGCTGAAAACTTCTTATTTTAGATCAATCAACATGTGGATTGTTAGGATGTCTGCTACAAAAATGTTCAAGAATGTTCCGTAATAAAGAACTGAAAATAACCTTTGCCTTTAACAACTTGTCTCCTGCTTGATTTGTTGTCTGCGATTCCTTTGGTGTACTAAATTATTAACATCCACATGTCTAACAGCACCTCCTTGTTCCGTCTCTCCGTCTTGCCAGCCTCCATGGCAGCTCATTCTGATTCCCTGGCCTCTCACTCCAGCTCTGTCCAAATGATGGATTCTGGCATGCTGGGTCCTTTCCCAGGTATACCCCCAAACATTCTTCAAGCTGCCACACAACACTCTCTGCATTCTCATTTATACAGCTGCCACTTCTGGAAGACTAATGACGCTAGCTGTAATTCAGTTCAATCTGAACTCGCTGTAGTCGTGTCTGATATTGTACCTGTGTTGGAGTTAAACATTTGGCTTTTTGACATATTGCAACACATTGGGCATCATGATTTTACTTTGTTGCTTTTAAAATCCTTGTTCTGTTTGGTTATATCCGAATATAACCACTTTGGCCGCATCTCTCCAGAAGGCATTGGAAACTATCTTTCACGTCCGTTTTTAGTGTTTTGTAGTTTCTCTTAGCATTCCACATTTTGGAAAAGAAAAACCATATCAAAATCAGAAGAAACTAAGACGAATGTAACTGAAGGCCACATGTTAGTAAGTAAACAAACACATAGATTATGCCAAATGCAACACTGATATCTCTCTGCTAATGGCTTTTCTACTCTTTAGCAGTGTTTGAGTTCAGTGTTGTGGCTGTAAAGCCGCTTGGATGAAAAAGCTTGTTAGACGCATGCAGAAGCAAAACTGTCAGACTGTGGTTCTGCACAGAGATGGACACATTCACACAAACGCACACACACACCCACACACACACTTAGTGGCGTCTTTAATGAGACATGTTGGAATCACTGCCGTAACCTTGGACACACATGCTCACTTTTACACAGCATGCTAGGCCTGCACAACAGCAGGAAAGAGTTAATCACTATGACGATATTGACTGTGATTAACACACGTTTTACTAAAGCTTTGCCATCTTTACCATTTTGGCTTCACAGCTCTCTGTGTCATTAAGTCACTAAATTTATACTTCAGTTATGTGTCTTAAGAACAGTTAGTCCACATTATTGATATCAGGATGGTTGCACATGCTTAAAAATATCTTAAATCCATGTTGCTCAAATTAAAGCCATATCTTAAATTTTACCATACAGGGATTATTTAATCTTGTATATTCTCGTATAGTTTTTTTTTTTTCTTGTGGCACTTTTCTGTAAAGCAAAAATTTGAGTCTCATTCAGAGATCTTAATTACGTTCTATGACTCAGTTGACACAGTTTTCTGTTAACTAGCTGCTAATATACCCTTGTTAGCTAACAAGCTGTTTTGTGTCTCACCCCATCATGGATGATGACGCGGCTCTTTTCTGTCAGGCTAAATTTTGATTTGCGTTCAGAAATCTTTAAATGTAGAGGGAGCAACGTTGCCTCTCGTTTGTTGAGCCCTTTAGGACCAGACTTGCCACCAGTTAGTTGGACGATGTTCTTTGTTGCCACCGTCTCATTTCTGTTGCCAAACCATATGAGGGTAGATGCAGGTTTGCACACATAAATATTTTGATGATCACAATTCAATATGTTCTGCAGATCTATAGAAAGACACACACACAGTTGTGAAAAGTGTTTGCTCCTTTAAAGATTTTTCCAGATTTAGTTTTTTTTTCATCCAGAAGATGCAAAGCACTTTTAAGATCATTACCACTATACTACCACCACCATGTCTGGCTGTCAGTACCATGAAATCCTTTGTTGCTGGTATTGGTTGGTCAGCTATGACAGGACGCACCCCTTCCACAAAGTTCCACTGTCATCTCATCTGTTCAAGAATGCCTTGGAGTATTCATGATCACTTTTTGGCAAAAGTGAGATGGGTTTTAGAGTTCATGACTTCTCGTCTGCTCCTGAATTTTTTTTAGCCTGTGACAAGCTAAAAAAAAAGATCTTTTTGGACATGTTTTAGTGTTTTTCATGTTGACAGACTGAATTTTTTTCCTCATATCTCAGGTTCTTTTGTTCCAATTTAATTATATTTAATCATCTAAACTGGCGGTGCCTCGGTAGATCGGCCCCGATTTCCTTAATTTTGGACGATCAGCTGATAATTGCATGATGAACCGATCTCGTCTACTTCCGCAAACATCTGAAAATCATCCAGTGTTAGTTTTGCTCTGCCCTTATCTAAAACATTTAAGTGTAAAATAAAAGCAAAATCAGAAATGAATCTTTAAAGGCAGGAAATACTGCCACCCACTATGCTCTTAAAAAGTAACACAGATGTATTTCAATAAATGAGATGAGCATCAACTCTGATCACACATTAGGAACAACAGAGTGATTCGCTGTTAATACTTATCTATCTCCATGCACAGGGATAAGACAAAAAGTCTTAACATTAACACCATCACTCTGTTTTAATGTTTTTTTAGGCTTCTCTCAGCCAGGAGGGATTGGAATGAATGTGGAGGTGGGAGCCGCACCTCTGCAACCACAGAAGCCCCCGAGTATATCAGAGTCGCAGTATCCTACTCCCCAAACTGGGTCAGAAGTCCCAAAAGATCACAGCGCCATGCTGCCAGAACCCCCGGCCCCTGGAAGCCCCCTGGATGTTTCAGCAGGTAAAACTTAAAGATGTCATTCACACTCTGAGCACTGAGAGTCTTCACATGAAACCAACTGCAATGGAGACGTTTAGATGAAAGCGTCAAGACCTAAATCAAATTTAAAGTGTTTGTGCTTGAAAACTGATGTTTATAGACACTCACCATCCAATCTGAGTTTGACGTATTTAGCATTTCTAGTTCTAGTTTAGGCTTTTTTATCTAATAACAGTAGGTGCAGTGACGGGCACACTTCTGTTAATCCACTAATGTGCTATTAGCAGAGCTAATTTTTCATGTAGCATTTTTGCTAACTTTGAAAATGTTTAGCGCACCGAGCTTCTTCTAAATTATTTTTTTTCTGATAAATTCTAAAGCACTAATGTACTTGGCTGTTTTGTAAACTTTTAGGTGAATAATACTCAACATCTTTGTTGAAGGTTTAATCATTAATTCTGTTTGGCTGAGTTTCATATTCACTGAATGTATTAAAGAATTTCCTCACAACAGGTTTAGAGACCGATAAAGTAATTTAGATCATTAAGATGATTCTGCAAGCAGTGGAATCAAGGAGCTATTTAGGTTTTTGTATTCTGTGGAAACGTTTAACTGTCAGGAGGCAGGAGAAACTACAGGAGCACTAAAGAAAACAAGAAAGGTTTAGTGAGATTAATATCTCATTAAAACTAAAATATGCTCTTATTTAAGTGACAGAGGACAGAGTAACATATTTTCATTTCGTCAGAACGACATAAGATACTTCTACTAAATTTATTTCCTAATTCTGGCATTCAATTGCTTCCATAGTGGATTATTTATGTATTTAAGCCTTTTTTCAGCTAGATAGTAAATATATGGTAATAATGCTTACCATATACTTGGATACTGGGTTCATTTAATTCTCAGCTTTATCGGCGTGTGTTACCCGTCTGTCAAAATCTCAAAAACTATTTTTTATTTTTTTCAAATGATGGAGTAACAATACTGAGCTCAAACCGGTTGGATTAGTCACAACACTTTGGTTTTACTGAAAGACGAATGCTTCAAGTGAGCAATTCTCACTACTGTTGAGGTGTTTTAATAAAGCAAAGATCATAAATGAGCAGCTAAATTCTAATTACATAAACATGGTACGGCTTTTAATGTTTAGGACCATGTTTTTTTATGTGCTGAGTCTGCAGAAACTGCAGAAATAAGGATCATGAAATCAGCTCAGACTGTACACGGTCGCCCCTCCTCATAGCCGTAACAAGCTGTCTGTCCGTCCTCTACTTCCTGTCTCACATCCTCTGATGGGATGAAGGTCAATGCTCATCTGATGCTGACATGTAATGTGAGTGCTGTCATGCGCTGGCTTCCAGTCACATACTGTCTGCATGTGCTGACTTCCTGTCACTGAGCTGTGAGTGTCCGCAGATCACGCTTCACTGTCCTCTCTACATCCACTCACTCACACGTCCAACTCCGGCCTGAAATTGTTTGGATGAAAACTTTTTGTCCAAACTTCACTGAGAAAGGAACATCACTTCTTCATGAAAAACCCAGTGGAATGAGTTGATGCTAAAACTCCTGATGCTCAAGAAAGAGTATAAGAACTTATCCACAGTTTTCACATGGAATTCCAAACTATCCACAGAAAAACTCAACCATTCACGGATTTGCTGGTAAAGGATATCTAAAATATTTGACAGAAAATGCAGCTTGAGAAGCTAAACCATCTTAGCACAATGCTACTTGTCACGCTATTTGGTTGCTTCTGTAAAGCAACAAAATCCAGGCGCATCGTTCATTTTCCTCAGAGCTGATTGGCTCTACCTCAAGAGTTTGAATAAGGAAGACTGGAGATGTTGTCTTCTGGAGTAGTGTTAAGACGGTTTCCAATAAAGTATATTGAGGTATATTTGGTGTATTAACTATTAGGTAGATATGAACGTTTTTAGAAGGATCTCAAGTTTTCACAGATTTTAGTTAATGATGAGTGGCTGTGGCCTCTAACTCCGTCAACACCAGGGGATCTGCTGTTCTGTTTTTTTACTTTTTTTATTCTTTTTTATTTACAAAAATCAATCTTTCCAAAACACTTTTAGAAATGAGGTACCAAACTGAATCCAAGGGAGGCTTTTTAATACCACAAAAACCTTCAATAGCGTGATTGTAGTTGTACAATCATCCAGAAACTTTGGGTTGAAAACTGAAGTGCTGAGTCGGTGTTTAATTCACACACCTCAAACATTTTGCAGTCTCAAACCTCAATGTATTTCACTGGAATTTTATAGGACAAAGCCCATCCGGGTTTTCCAGAACTCACCATCATCTTCTCTGTTTCTGACCGATTGACAGTATATGTTTCACAATTCACAATTGGTCACTATAATTGTGTTGGTTTATCACATTAAAGTCCCAATCAAAATACACAAATGTTTGTGGTTATAAGGTAACAGAAAGTTCTTATTCATATTTCAAATGCTGGTTTAAACAGAGGTAAGAGTAGAGGAGGGGGAGTTCATACTCTAAGGCACAAACAGGAAGGCTCCCAGCTGTAGATGTGAGTAACATCAGGTGAAACACACTTCCTGCTTTGACTGCTGCTGACTGCTCTCTGACTAGCATGGCTCACACTCCACTGAACACACATCAGGAGGCCTAACTCACCTAACCTAGCCTTTACCTTTGACCCCAGTCAGTCAGTTGGGTTTAGCGGTGGACATGCAGTAAGTTAGTGTTCATAAGATGCTGACTGGAGTCCACACATCCCAACCCGAGTCTGGTCCAACTTTAGCAAGCACACTATAGAGAGCACAGTTCTGTCATTGCCTTGTTAGCATGAAATATGGCCCTCTAGAGAGCCACTGTGCAGTGTGGACCCTGACATCTGCTCTACTTTAACTCTTCTTCCCCATCCGTGTGTGGGTACAAAGAGAGATCCGAGAGAAACTGGGCCAAAGTAGGAAGAGCAAACCCGCTTCAGTGAGCAATTTCTTCTTTGGTTGTGTTGCTGCTCATTTACCATTTCGTCTTGCTGCCTTCTTTACCTTGTAACTTTTAAGGAGATATTTTTTACTGTCATCCATCATAATTATGCCATTACCTTAAAAAAGCTATGTAGTTTAAGTAGAGTCGCCTGGAATGACCTTCTTTCTGTGGGACGGTTGGAGCATTCCAATTCAGTTTATTTATATATCACCTATTTGCAACGTCATTTACATCATCATACCAAGGCACTTCACAGGAACATGGTCTGTTTATTCCAGTAATGCAGACACATTTCAAGTCAAATGCATACATTCCAAACAGATAGAACAATGCATCCAGTTCAGTTCATTTTTCAAATTGGTCAGAAATATTTTCCTAGTAGATAGTATCAAGTCACTGACTTCCAGCACTCCTTCACCCAGAATGACATATTGACAGTGGGGAGAAAAAACTCCCCTTTAACAGGAAGAAATCACAATTAGCAGTGGTAAATGATCGGCCAATGAGTATCTCTAGAAGAGAGAAGTTAAATTCTGAGAAACGGTCAAGAGTATTAACTGTAGTAGGAAGACATTAAGTTGCTGGCAGCAGTATTTCAGCCAATGCTTAGCAATATAAGATATAATGCAATACTGGAGAGTAATAGGAGAAAGTAGCACAGTGAGGCCTCTGACCATAGCCACTTTAGCTATGAGGTTAAACAAAAAGGAACATTTTCAGACTAGTCCTAAAAGTACATATGAACTGATAAGGATGTAAGTATTTGTGTAATTGATGTAATAAAATAAAGCTGAAAATGTGTTTTCCAAGTCAGACATTAGTGAGACTTTCTGTTGATTTGTTGATATAAATTGAAACATCAGGATCCAAATGAGGGAAATATCCAGAAAGACAATCTTTAAACTGGACTTACAGCTAATTATTATTTGCAATTTGGGAAAATACTTTTCACAGACTTTTGACAATCCTCACTAATTTTGCATCGTTCACGTTTGCATTCAACCTCAAGTAGAGAAATTCAACCCTCGCAACTAAGAGTAATAATTGAATTGGTCTATTTGAACATTAACAAAATTAAGTGTTTCCATTTTACACAAAAGCATGTACAGTCCTATGAGCAGTGGTAATAATAATGAATCTTTGTTTCTTTGATGCCCTAGATTGCACCAATCTTACACACTGGTGTAGATTCTCTATCATCAGTACACGACAATCCAAAGAAACCCAATCTGAGGATTTTTTTTTTCTGCTTAGTTCCATGTTTCACCTCCCTAAACATCTTTTTTCAATAGAAATGGCTATTATATTTATTCTTAGAAAGTTTGCTTCTTTAAATATTCATTGCTTAAATTGCTTACCATTGTCCTTTTCTGTCTTGCTCTGATATGTTCTGAATTGTCTGCTTATGTTTTTCGAGTTAGACCTAGGGAACCAGTGCTGTTGTTAATATCCATAACCATATTCCCAACCTTAAACTTTCCCCTCTTCACCCACAACAAGGTTCCTTAGACGTCTCTTGGCAAGACCAGATTGGCTCCCCATCAACAGATCCACCTTTTGCTCCCAGCGTTTCTGTGAAGTTTTCCGACCAAGTTGATCAGCTTACAGCCAGCCCAGAAGATACACCCGAAAGCTGGCCCAGCCGTGAGAGCACCGCCTACGCTGGCGGCGATGAAAGGGACACGGACGGATCTGACAGAAAACAGAAGAAGAAGAAGAAAAGGCGACAGAAAGATGAGGGATCCTACGAACACGTCGAGAGCAGGGGTCAGCCGGAGATGCAGGAAGCGGGAGAAAACACTCCTCCAACTGAGGAGTTTTATCACCGGATTGGCCCAAGAAGGGACAGAGGAGAATGCGGCTGGGAAGAGCAACTTGGGAAGAGCGGAGGCCGTGGCAAGAAGAGTAAAAACAGGAAGAAGCTTCCAGAGGAATGGGCAGTGACAGCAGAGTCATTCGTTCCCTCTTCAGTGACTGCCTCAGAAATAAAAGTGGAAGCATTGGTGGATCTTGGGAGTTCAGTGAATGAAACAATGGAGAGCTCTTTTGCAGACATGGACACTAGCCAACACACCTGGAAGAAAGAGTTTTACCCAGAGAAAGACCCTTCGACTTTGCCTCAGGATTTGTTCTCTCCAACAGCTGCAGCCATCAGTCCTCTAGCCCTCAACAGTGAGCTGAATGCTACAGCAACTCCATTCACCATGCCGTCTTCCACCAACAAAACAATCCCCGGCTCCTTCCCTGAGGCGGTGGATGTCCTGATGGACACTGAAAATGCCGGTTTGGGTCAAAGCAATCAAAACATTTATCCTCCTTTCTCTTCAGAGAACACAGGAGCTGTAGCTGATTTAGACAGCGGGATGTTTGACATCTCAAGTTCCTTTCAAGAGTCTTCCATGCAAGCTGTTTCAGATGGAGACACCTCAGCTTTCAGCTCTGCTTCACAGACAAGCCAGGCTGTTTCACCTAAAAGTGACGTGTTGGCTTCAGCCCCACCTCTATCACCCTCTGATGGTTCATGGATGCTAAACAACTCCCAACTGAGCAGCAACAGTGATTTATTTGACTTCAGCGACACGAGCACCGTAGGCCATCCTTTACCCCTGGGCCTGTCCTTCAACACACCAAGTCCAGCACCTCTCCGCTCACCCAAAACCACTGCCCAAGAATTCCAGTCTAAGCACAAAGACGGGAAATCTGGCCAGAAGCAATCCAGAAAATCACCTCCTTCCTCTTCGACCTCATCTGTCAGGAGTCCCACCTCCCCAGAGGCAAAGCTCTCCCCACAGGCATCCCCTGTCACTTCACCCTCATCTCCTCCTTCAGTGGGTCCCACTGGAGTTCCAGGATCCGGCCTCAATCCTGCTGCAAAGCCTTTCTTTCCCAGCTTTGCTGATCCAGTGGAAGATACAGCTGTGGTCCCTCCAGTTGTCCCCATCGTGGAAGGTTGGTTGTAGTCAGCCCTAGTAGAGGTACCAAAAGCAACTTAAAGATAGAAGCGAATGGTTGCTATGCATGGCACTTCCAACCAGCTTGAATAGCTCCGGTATTGGGCTGTATTGATTGCTTGTGTGTCTTTTACTAATCAGGGGATTATCGTAGGAATTGCAGCCGCTTGTGCCGTTCCTTGTATGATCACCTCTAAAAACCTTCACTAGCATGTCTGGTTTGGACTGTTTTTGGGGTGACTAACTCAACTGTTGACCAATTGAGACTCTGAGTTGCCTTGATGCTAACCTTTGTTTCCAAAGATGCACTGTCAGGATTCTCCCATAATTAACAATTTTCCTGTTGATGGGTCTGCAGCCTCTAACCAATCACAGAATCTCTCTCTTTAGACACATCGGTAGATATCGGCACCAACTCTGAATCTGTTCACTTTTTTTTCTTCTCCAGTCGAGGTGTGTGCTAACACAATAATTATGTTCCCCCTTACTTTCCATCCAGGAGTTTAATGTAGTCTGTCTTCTCTGTTCAGTTAATTCTGGTATTCCTGCCTGCTATACCCATCTTTTTCTTTCCATCTTTACCTGAACCGAACTTGGAAAAAAAATGTTTTGTTAGAAAATACAATTAAAAATTCTAATTGCCTTTTTTTTGTTTGTGTTTTTTTCCCCCATGTCACAACTCTTGATCTGGCCGCCTCTCTACTATAGGTGAGTCCTATTTGATTTCTTCTATTGCCTTTGTTTGCCTTTATTCTGTATTTTTTGTCCTTAATCAACACTATCCTTGTTAAATCTTGTTAATTTACATAATGTTCATCTTAAGGGTCAATATAAAGCCAATTCTCACCTTCTCATGGTTCAGTTGTTGATTTTAGGGGTGCACCAATTGCAGCTTTTCAATCCGCGATCTTTATTATTTTAGTAAAATTACCTAATTTTACTAAAATTCTGTACTGTGTACGCAGAAGCGCACACAGTACACAACTGAGTCACCCAAACTATTTGAGGACGAATTACCTATTCATGGATATTTTTTTGTGGAACGTATTAGAAATATTGGAAGAAGATGTGGCTTGGGAAGCTGAAATACTTTTAATATGTGCAACTGTACTTGACATGCTGGCATTTGCGAAGCAGCCAATCCATGAGCACCATACATTTTCCTTAGCTCCTATTGGTTGTGCCCCAAGAACAAAGATAAGTTTGTCTGTAAATGTTAGCTTCTTCATAGTTCTAACACAGGTTCCACTGTGCATATTAGCGCATTTGGTGTTTGAATGATTAAAATAGGCAGTTCTAATACTTTTTAGAGAGAGTTTCAGGTATTTGCAGATATTAGGTATTCAGGCACAGCATAGAACTTTAACCCCCACAAAATCTGGCAGTCCAGTGTATCATTTTCTTCATTAAAATGGACAATGTTATGGGGTATGAATATGTTTGGGAGTTTTGGATACACAAAACATGAATTTCTTTTTGTGTCTCTCATAATCATGTTGATGTGTATCATCAGATCCATCATAATACCCAAGCGTTGCTTAGAGGTTCTTTATTTTTGAGATATATCAAAGAACAGTCTCTATGCAGTCCTACATGATCGATCTACTGATATCATGACGGGTCAGCTGAGGTTTATCATAGCCTGTTTACATTAATGAATGTCCTGGTTTGTGTGTATGTGTATCATTGTGACTGCATGTTTTTGTCCTTTCTGACAGCAGAAGTGTTTTGTATGTGTGTGCTGCTGTGATTTATAGAGGTGCAGAGTTCTGGGGGGACTCATTTCCTTGTCCTTCCTTTCAACACTTCCTGTCTTTGCCTCCCTTTGGTGGCTGTAATGAGAACCGAACCAGCCTCGCCATCAGATCAGTGGCATCCTGAACCTGGCTATTAAGTTGCCTTGATCAATACCTCCTAATCTTTCCATAGCAGTACAGAACCTTCCTTTTCCATTTTTTGTCCTATAATTACTATAAAACAGTCCTGAATCTATATTTATTGCTTTAAACACCTTGATTACCTATTTGCTGTATTTCTTTTTCTAGAGGTGCCTTAGTCACGTATTTTACATTTGATGAATTTAGTCTGCCTGACAAATATTTGTGTGATTAAGAAAAGGAAAAGTGTACAGCAGTGCAGCTGGCTGGGCTTTCTCCTTAATGAGAGCTTGCGTCAGTGTCTAAGTGTGCATCTGTTTCACTAAAAGTGGTATTTAAGCCCTGCAGAAAGGATAGGGTGTGTTGGGCAAGATAAGGAACAAGAATAAAGACTGTGCAGAGTTAGAGAGGAAGGGATTCAGATAAATCTGAGCAAGAAGGAGCACTGAATAAGAGCAAGGGAAGAAAGGAAAGAAGATAAAGCTTAGCATTTTATTTAGAGTTAGCATAGCACAAAAATCAAAATATTTCAATTTCATTTTTTGGTCTACTTTCTCACCTGCTTGCCACATTGTTAATGGGCAAAAAAGAGAAGACTGATGTTAACATGTAGCACTTATTGTGCAGGACTTAACATTGACAAACAATTTTATAATATCTAGAGTGATATATTTTGTCGAGATCAGACGGTATTAAATTATTTCAGTTTGCTAACGTTCAGCTATATTCCTCTCACATCCTGAAAAAAGAGTATATAGACGTTAGCTAGCAGGTGCTAGTACATAGTATTGTATACCTTGCTTATTCTCTGTATAATTACTGTAATAATAGCTTGAAGATTGTTCATACATATTAGTGAAAATAATAGAAAATATATAAACACACTGAACAACAAATCACCATCAAGAAATTCTAAACGGTTTTCACAACAGAAGCCAGAGATCGATCACTAAAATTTTTAAAAAGATATTCAACTAAACGTAAGCTAATACCATTATAGCCACCTTAGCTTATTATTATTTTGTTAATTGTGAAATTTTCATATTGTTCATGGAGCTTCGATGCATCACAAACACTGATTGGAAACCTCAAAGCAGATGCTAACTTCAGTATCCTTAGAAGCTAACGGTTAGCTTGTCACAGTATTCTGGGATTATTTATAGGTTGTTCGTACCTTAATGATACTGCAGCTAAATGGTGCTTGGTCAACATAGACTGTGGTGTTAATTTATTTATTATTGAGATTTTGTGTCACTAATTTGAATTACAAATTTGCATTTGTTATTATTGGAGATTTTCTTCCAAAGCATAGCTTTTTTTTTTTTTTTTTTTTTTTTTTTTTTTATGAAACAGAGCTAAAAATATGTATTGGCTCTTAAAAAAACTGCAAGTGTTTGATTTTGTAGTCCTTGTTTCTCTGTACAGACACATAGACACCCACGCAGAAGCGCACACAGTACACAACTGAGTCACCCAAGCTATTTGAGGACAAGGCAGACAGGCGTACATACACTGTATCAGCGGTCCATTTTTACCACATAGTGTTCTTTTCTGAAGCTTCACAACAGGCTACTAGATGGTAGCCTGGAAGGGGCATTTGTACAGTATGGCACCACCCAGAACTGTGGTGAGCTAATGTCTTTTGACGGCTTTGGGGGAAATGTCAGGGTTTTTTTCACTCGTTGGCGCCATTTTAGGAGCCAACAGCTAACTCTGGGAGCAGAGTATGAGTCATTCAGAGATTGTTTTTCTAAAGATTCCTAAACAAGACGTTACAGAGATTCGTCCTGAGATGGCTTCGAGCCAGCAGTACGGGCCGTACTTTAGATTTGATAAATTTTAAAGCTGACATTTAAAAGAGGAAGTTTTATGAGTTCAGTGAGCGGAAATCTTTTTGAACGCTGAGATGAGTATATTTGTACATATACAGATATATAAACATACAGTTTAAATAAAAAGTAAATATCAACAGTAAATAAAATAATAAAAACAATAGTTATCAAACTGAATCTAACCAATTACAATATTTAGAAATGAGTACCATAATTTCCCTCAGTAATTAAACCATGTAAACATCAATCTGAGATAAATGATCTCATGAGATCATGGGGTGGAAATTTTGGGTATGCCCAAAAATTCATTGGCAGTTTTGCAGATCTGATGATTGTATTCTACAGTGTCTTATGGTGTGATGGAGTATTAGATACTGACTGTATCTGAAAAACACACAGTGCCATTTCAAAGTAACTGAATAATTCATCCTCAGAATCTTAAAAACATTCATTCTTATAGGCTCTACGTAAGTGAACATCCTCTGTGGTGCCCTTCTAAAACTTTTCCATTGTTGACCCGTTTTCCAGTTCAGTATCTCTGCTTAGCCAGCATTCAAGCTAAGAAAGTAGGTCTATAGAGTGTAACTTTTAGTGCTCTGGCAAGTTTATTCTTTTGTGTCTTCACAGTGAAGTAATAATGTTGATGTTTGTTGGATTTATGAAGACTTGCTTACTTCAAGAGTTAGCTAATTGGCTGCTAACCTCATGTGAAAGTTTTTTGCCATCTAAATGTTAGTTGCATTGGTTTGAAAATAACATGTTTTTCTGATAATGTTTCAAACTTTAAATTTGAGGAAGAATGAAAATGGGAGAACGCTGAAAGGAATATGTCAAAAGAAATGAAATAAGAAAAGAAAACAACAGTAAACAGACAACAGGCAGAGGACTGTCCAGGATCTGAGACAAGAGAAATGGCTGACAGGCAAACAGATGGCTGAAAAGTTTAGGCAAGACCAGCTTCTGATTTGATAAGATTAGACAGCTTTCATAGCATAAAGGTCTGGTAGTCATGGACACAGGTACATACCACTGCCACATTAGAATGATAGGGAGGAAATGGCAAAAGCGTCTTTCAGAACATTTTTGATTGTTGGGGTCTCACATGTATTTTCAACTGAGGTGCTGGCTGACTGGTTGAAATGAAAGATACAGAAAAGATCCAGTTTGTTTTGGGGATAATTTTGACCTAGAGTCATTGACTGATTCAGTTTATAAATACTGTATTTATGCTGAAGGGAAATGAATTGTTGTTGTAGCTCATTTCATTCCAATGTCTTCAAAGTGTCATC